ATAGTCCCTGTGCTATACAGTAGGTCCTTGTCATTTTTATATATAGTAACGTATGCTGTTAATCACAGACTCCCAATCTATCGCTCCCACCACTGGCCCCCTCGGTAACCAGTTTGTTTTCTATGTCCGTGAATCTATTTCTGATTTGTAAATAAAATCTGTGTATTTTTTTAGATTCCACACATAAGCGAGATCATATGATACTTGTCTTTCTCTGTCTGACTTATTTCACTTAATATGATAATCTCTAGGTCTATCTGTGTTGTTGTAAGTGGCATTATTTCATTCTTTTCTATGGCTGAGTAGTATTCCATTGTATAAATTATACCACAACTTCCTTATCCAGTCATCTGACGATGGACATCTGGGCTGTTTGCATGTCTTGGCTATTGTACATAGTGCTGCTATGAACACTGGGGTGCATGTATCTTTTTTAAATTAGAGTTTTCTCCGGATATATGCCCAGGAGTGGGATTGCTGGATCACATGGTAAGTTTATTTTTAGTTTTTTAAAGGAATCTCCACCCTGTCCTCCACAGTAGCTGCACCAATTTACATTCCCACCAATGAAATTTTCTCTTTAGGCTGATAGAATAAAAATATAGCTGACTGTAAAAATGCTCTCGCCAAGTAACACATATTTGGAAAAGTGATGAAGACTTTCCAACAATTAACATGTAACTGACATGTTACGCACAAGACGTGAGTCTGTATCAAAAATGAGATGCTACAGGTCATGTTATTTTCCCCTTATATTTTACCTCCAGCAATACCTGAAGGCCCCATGGATTAGCCAGAAAGTATTTTTAAATTCTCCATTTAAAATATAATACTTTTTTTTCCCACATATCGTAGAATTCTTTTTTTTTTTTTGGTAGACAGTTCTATGAATTCTGACAAATGCTTAGACTCATAAAACCAACAACACAGGCCGTTTCCCATTCCCACTCCCCAAATTCCTTCATGTGCCCCCATCAACTCCACTTCCCACTTCAGCCCCTGGCAACCACAGATCTGCTCTGTGTCACGACAGTTTTGCCTTTTCCAGAAAGTCATGTAAGTGGAATGACAGAGTAGGCGGGCTTTGCGTCTGGCTGCTTGCACTCTGCGTCATGCCTCTGAGACTCACTCAAATTGTTGCATCAGTAGTTTGCTCCTCTCTGTGGCTGAGTTTTGCTGTGTGGATGTACCACAGGGAAGGGACGGGGCAGGTCAGGCTGGGCCTTGTGGGCGGTGGGGAGGACGTGGGCTTCTGCCCTGAGGGAGGTGGGAGCCCTGGAGGGCTGTGGGCAGAGGAGGGTCACGGTCATACCAACATTTCACTTTATTCTTATTTTTTACAGTTTTTATTATGGGATGTTTCAAACACACAAAAAAACAGAGCTGGCAGTGTCACGAGCCACCCACAGCCCACAACGCACCCACTGCCTGGCTCCAGTGACTGTCAGCGTGGGGGAGGGTGGAGCTCAGTGGTAGAGCGAGTGCTTAGCATGCACGAGGTCCTGGCTTCAATCCCTAGTTCCTGCATTAAAAATAAATATATAATCCTAATTACCCGTCCAAAATTTTTTTAAAATACAACTGTCAACATGGAGTTGATCTTGTTTATTTCCATGCCCTCACACCCCTGCTGGATGCTTTAAAGCCAACCCTACCCAGCACATTACTCCAGGTTTCAATGCCTTAGCGACAAGGATTCCCTTCTCTAACTGAGTCCCAGAGCCACTGTCCCACTCTAAAAAGCATCCCTTCTTCATGTCACCCGAGATCCAGGCAGTGTTCAGGTCCCCCACTGCCTCACAAACGTCTTGTTTGCATTAGGATCCAGCTGGCACCTATACAGGGCACAGATGTTGGGCCCCACCCTTGACAGACGATCCCCGGGGCCTCGTTCGGGTTTATTTTACGATGCACCTTTTCCTAGCTACGTGCTTCCACTGAACTACAAAGCTGGCACCTGCTGGCGTGGAACTGGGTGCAGGTCCTGGGGCACCACTCGCCAGGTGTTTGCCTGCTGTATCCCTGGTTCTGGTGGAAACACTTGGAGTTGGGAGAACACTGATCACAAATCTAGAATTTAGAACAACTGCTTGATTCTTCTATCCAGCACCTTGTTGATCATAAACAAAATAATACAGTTTTCCTCCACGGAAACCACCAAAATGTCACTTGCAATCAATGTCAACCAGCTCTTTTGCTCCACAAATGGACAGTGGAAGGTGTCTGGAGACATCTTTCGATTCAAACAAATTGATATGTTGGATTTATGAGTTAAATTACATGCTTAAGGGGGATCTGATTAAGGAAACATGTGTGGCCAGTGTTTTTATGTTTGGGAAATTCTGATTTGTTAAATTCACAGGCTCATTCAGCATCACTCTTTAAGATGTTTATGCAACTCAATTAGTCTGCTTGGGCCGCCATAACAAGACGCCACAGAACGGGTAGCTTAATAGAGACTTATTTTTGCTCAGTTGTGAAGGGCTGGAAGTTGGAGAGGGAGGTGTCAGGAGGCTGGTTTCCAAGAGGACTCTCTTCCAGACGGCTGCCTTTGCACTGTGCCCTCCTGTGTGGAGACAGAGAGCTACTTTTCTCCTCTTCTCAGGACTTCAATCCTATAGGATTAGGGACCCACTCTTATGACTTCATTGGACCCCGATTACCACCCTCAAGGCTCCGTCTCCAAATACAATCACATTGGGGATTTGGGCCCCAACATACAGATCTGGGGGAACACAATTCAGCCCATGAAAATAGCTATTGACTTATGTTATGTAGATGTCTAGGAGAAAGGTGTTTAATAGATTTAAGGATGAACACATTGAAAGTCAAGCAAGGTTAAGGAGGGATGGTTGTCCTTCGCTGTACATAAAAGGCTTCAGGCAGTCAAGCCCAGTTCATGAGTGTGTATGGGGCCCGGGCAGCCTCTGGAATCTGCACTGCCCTCTACCATTGGGCTAATGACCATGTGACCTAAAGTCTGATTATTGATGAACATCCTCTAATGCGGCTGCACTAATTCTGACCACAATATATGAGAGCACCTATTTCCCCACATCCTCACTAATATAAGGTCTTCTTCAACCTTTTTGGTCTTACTGAATCAGACAGGTGGAAATTGTGTCATATTTTCTATGGCATTTCGCTCTTGACTGAGAGGGAGCATGTTTTCCTGTTTTTAAAAGTCGTTTTAAAATTTGTTTTCAGGGAACTGCCTATTTCAAGCCCTTTGCCCATTTTCTCGTGGGTTATTAGTCTTTTTATTATTGATTCATTGGAGGTCTTTACATATTAAGGATATCAGGCCTTTATTTAATAGATATGTTGTCCTTTTTTTTTCAGTTCACTGTTGACCTTTAGATTGGTGTTCTTTGCTATGAGGAAAACTAAAAACTTTTCATGTAGCAAGATTTACTCTGTTTCTCTTTTATGCCCTTTGGGTGTTCATGTTGTACCATCTTTACGGCAGCCAACCAGAGCAGAATTCTCCTGTGGGAGTTGCTTTCCTGCAGGAGACTTCAAAATGTTTTCTTATCCGTATGGGCCCGTATACACTTGGCCCCTATATTCGAGCTGTTTAAGAGTCTCTTTCGGAAACTCACAGACTACTCTGGATTTTACAACTGCTCTATGATCTGGCATACAAACCACTCTCCTCTCCTCCTAGGCCAAGGACAGGCATGACTAATCAATCCCCGGGTATCTAGGTAGACATGGGAGTTGGCTTCAGACCTGCAACCCCTTGGCCAGTCCTGCTAAGTTCTCTACTTTGAGCCTTGCAGGACCATGAAGAATGGTCTGTGTGGACCCAGAGGGGCTGAAACCCTGATAAGCCAAGACGAGGAAGCTGAGGACATGGAAGTAGAAATGAGCCAAGAACCAGGTAAGTTGTGTGCAGGAGAGAAAGGTGCGCTGACTCAGCCACAGCTTTCTATGAAGGAGTCTGGGCCCAGAGAGTCCAGCCACTCCCTGCCCTCGGGGGCCAAGTCTACACTCAGTGGGGAGTGGAGGTGGCAAGAGCAAGTGGGGGACAGCTGGCCATGTCATTCAGAATGGAGCTCCGCTAGCCGCGTGACAGTGGGCGAGTCACTTGCTCTTTCCAAGCCTCGTCTGTATCACTGGCTGGGGGTGGGGGACACTGATAACAGTACCTCCCTATTAGGATGGGGAGCCTGTGTGGGTAAAGCACATACATACGTAACAGTATATGTTACATATCATATGTTATATATAGTGCAGATGTAGTGTGTGTGCATATGTATGTGGCAGACACAGTAACATGTAACAGTTAACGTACTGCAGATATGATATATACAGTGAAAATCGTATCTATATAGTGCAAGTCTAATTATACACATTCATGGTGTAGATGCAATTATACATATGGCACAGAAATAGTTATATATGGTGCAGATGTAACTGTATATACATTGGGGCAGATGTAATGATATATGTAATACAGATATGTGTATATATAAAATATATATAATATAAACAATATGGAATTCTAGTTAACAATTCAAATGCTAAACGTTGATTCAAATCAAATGATCCACGTGTTGAAGAGTGCGATGGATGGACAGAGGCAGCTTACTTTGAAATGTATCAAAAGGACCACGCTGTGAAGGTTGGATACACAGATGGATGGCTGGGTGGAGATGTGTTAAGGCACATACAGCAAAATGCTGGCAGGTGTGGATCTGATGCTGAGTGCGAGGGCGTTTGCTATGCAATCCAACTTTTTGTGTGCTTGAGAATTTTCATAGTCAATTGTTGAGGGGGTAAGGAAGGGGTAAATAGGAGAGGGGGAGCTTGCACAGACCAGCGCTGACCATGTGACTGTGTCACTTGAGGAGTGGGGTTCTTTCAGGACAGCCCCCCACAAAGGTTGTTTAATTAACAAAAGCATCTGTCACCTGACCCTGTTTGCAGTTACTCTAAGGCTATGGACCATTCATCGAGATGGAGAAGTCCTTCTGAGGCTATCGAAACATGGGCCAGGCCATGAGATCCCCATGACCATCCCTGAGTTTTTTCAGGAGTCAGTAAACCGATTTGGGATTTATCCAGCCCTCGCATCAAAGAAGGATGGAAAGTGGGAAATTCTGAGTTTCAATCAGTACTATGAGGCTTCTCGGAAGGCTGCGAAAGCCATGATCAAGGTAAATGAGTCATTCCTTCCTTTATTCGCTCGTTCATCCTGTATTAAGTCATTCATCTACACATATGTACAAATGGGACAAAATGCATCAGGCAACCCAAAGGTTAACTGGTGAAAAATTTCCTTCTAATCTTTGACCCCTCTTTTATGGAGGGAGACACCATTTGCAGTGTTTGTATATTCCTTTGGGGAATAAGTTATGCATATATATTACATAATTTGCATATGCACATTTTCACATCCACAGTGGCATACTATACCCATGGATCTGCATCTCGCTTTTTTTCCCCACTAGCATAGTATATGTATGTATTAGTTAGCTACTGCTGCATAACAATTGCTCCAAAACTTAGTGACTCAAAAGGACACAGATTTATTATCTCTTGATTTCTACGAGTCAGGAATCCAGGAGTGATGCTGTTGGACGTTTCGGGTTCCAGAGCTCTCATGAAGTTGTAGTCAAGTTGTCAGCTGGGGCTGCATCATCTGAAGGCTTGACTGGGGCAGGAGGGTCTGCTTCTAAGCTTCTTTACAGACAGCTCTTGGCAGGAGGACTCAGTTCCTTGTTCTATGGCCTTCTTCAGAGGGTCGCTTGAGTGTCCTCAAAACATGGCAGCCTGCGTTCCCCAGAATGAGTGATCCAAAAAGAGAGGGTGAGCCGAATGGAAACTGTGATATCTTTTACAATCAAACCTCAGCAATGACATCTATCACTTCATCCACGTTCTATTGGTTACACAGACCTTGACACAGCACAGGAAGGGATTGCACAAGGACACAAATACCAGGAGACGAGACTCACTGGGGGCCATCCTGGAGGCTGGCTGCCACATTCGGAGATCCTTCCATATTGACTTATTTTTTTTAATCCATGTTCTTTTCAACTGCAAACACACGTATAACAGTAGTGACTACCATACATGGTGCCACAGTGGACCTCCTTTGTACAGTGAATTCCTACAAAAGAGTGCCCCTTTATGGTCACTGACAGCATGTGTGAGCATCTCCTTACCTATATTCTTACCAACATCATCACTGTCAAATGTTCATCTGGGCCAATCTGACAGGCGTACTAGGCAGAATTCTCAGGTGACTCCTCTGAGATTTCCACCCCTTGGTGTATTTATGCTGTACAATCCTCTCCCTGTGACTGTGGGCAGGACTTGTGACTATGATGGGATCTCCCTCCTGTGGTGGCAAAGGAGAAGAGACTTCTGCAGATGTAACTGAGGTCTCTAATCAGTTGACTTCAAGTTCATCAGAAAGGGCAGGTGCTCTGGTTGGACCTGACCTAATCAGGCGATCCATTAAGAGAAATTTTCCTGTTGTCCTTGAAGCACACTGCCATGTCACGGAGCAGGCCAGGTAGCAGGGAAGGCATACAGCCTCCAGGAACTGAGAGCAGTCTTCAGCTGACAACTAGCAAGAGAACAGGATTTTAGCCATTCCATCACTGGGAAATGAATTCCACAGGCAACCTGCAAGCTTCAGGTTGCAGGGGCCCCCAAGCTTCAGAGGAGATCACAGTCCCCACTGATACCCTGACTGCAGCTTTGAGAGAGGCAGAGAACCCAGTTATTCTGCCCCTAGGCTCCTGGCCCTGTAGAAACTGAGACAACAAATGTGTGATGCTTTAAGCTGCTCTATCTGTGGTGATGTGTTATGCAGTCACAGATGATGAATATAACAGGCATCTCATACTATAAAAGGGTATCTCCTGGTGGTTTTGATTTATAAGAAATCTGATCACATTTTGACCAACACCTGAGTTTCTCTCTCCCCTCCTCTGATGCTCATGGGTCTTCATCGAAGGACTGTGAGAGGTCAGAATTAAGAACCATCTGCTTGGGCTGGGTTTCTTCTTGGCTGCCCCACCCCAATGCCCTAGTGCCCTGGTTAGTTCACCTCTTCTGAAAGACAATCCTCTTTAGCTCTGCCCTCAGTTCCGGAGTTCCAGGGCCCTTGCTCTCCTAAACCTTGGACATCCAATCAGAAATAAGTCTATCTGCACGTTAGTAAAGACACTCTGTTGACACTCTGTCTACAATGAAGACAGCCTCTGTGTCACTAAGCAGAAACACTTGGCATTGTGTTCTGAAGCATCAGCAGGCAGATGCCTTCCAAATGCTTATGTTTTTCCTGAGAACAGCAGGCCATTGCCAGCCTTGCCCCAGATGACTAAAAGAGCCACCAAAATTGGAATTTCCAGGACAGAAGGGGGCCCTTCCCCTACGATGATCACCTGCATGTCCAGGTTTCCCAGTTCATCCTCAACCACGTTCAGATCAAGGTTATACCTTTAAAAGTAATTTATCACCACTATAGGGTATCATTCTTTGAGTACTATTATTCAAAATAAAAATGAATTCAATAGGAGGGATTAAAAAAAAAAGAACAAAATAACAAGTGCTGGTGAGGATATGGAGACACTGGAGCCCTCATGCACTATTGGTGGGACCCTGTAAGACAGTCTGGGTAATTTTGTAACAGTCTCACAAAATTCAACTCAGAATTATCATATATGATCCAGCAATTCCACTTCTGGGTACGTACCCCAAAGAATGGAAAACAGGAACTCAGATAGATATTTGGACACTCATGTTAATAGCAACAATGTTCACAAGAGCCAAAAGATGGAAGCAACCCAAGTGCCCATAGATGGATGAATAAACAAAATATGGTCTGTTCATATAATGGAATGTTAGCCTTAAAATGGGGTGAAGTTCTGACTCATGCTAAACATGGATGAACTGGGAACATTATACTAAGTGAAAGAAGCCAGATATAAAAGATGAATATATGATTCCACTTATAAAAGGTCCCCAGAGGAGTCAAATTCACAGAGACAGAAAGTAGACAGTCGGGGCCCAGGGCTGGGAGAGGGGCATGGAGAGTCAGTGTTTCATGGGGACAGAGTTTTGATATGGGAAGATGAGGAAGTTCTGGAGACAGATGGAGGGGATGGTTGCACAACAAACTGAATGTGCTTAATGAACTGAACGGTACACTTAAATCATTAAAAATAAAATGCACAAAGTTAGAATAAATAAGCGGGGCATTATGTAGAGGGAGGTAAACCAGCCTCGCAAGAGTTAACAGAAAATATCATGCTCCAGATTTGAGCGTCAACACTGGGTTTTCCCTACGTGACCCCATGGGCTCTGGGTCTGCTCCCACCCACCCAGAAGCAAACCGCCTCTGTGTTTCTGTTTTCCGTTTGTCTGTCTGTTTTTCTGACTCCCCAGCTGGGCTTGGAGCCTTTCCACTCAGTCGGCATCCTTGGGTTTAACTCCGTCGAGTGGTTTATTGCTGCTCTTGGTGCCATCTTAGCGGGGTAAGACCGTGCGCTCGGTTCCCTGTGAAGACTGGGTAGCTGCTGCTCCGGGCCCGGCAGCCCTGGGCTGGTTCCCCCTGAGATGTGGACAGGGATTTCAGACACAGCCCCGGGCCAGCAGGCAAGATAGACACACACACCAGTCAAAGGACCTCAAATGCATAAGGTAGTTCTTCAGCTCAGGAATGAAAATACAAAAGGATTTTAAATGGGCAAGAGACTTGATCGGAAACATCATGAAAGGAAGTAGCCAATAAGCACCTGAAAAGATCCTTGAGGTCCTTAGCCAGCAGGGAGATGCAAATTAAAACCACAACAGAATGGTTAAAAGCAAGAACAAAAGGCTGTGAATGAAGGGGACAGGTGGCTGGGGTGGGGTGAAGTCCAAATCCCACCTCTTATTTGCTTTGGGACCCTGAAAAAGTGACCACCCTGCCCCAAGAGCCTCATTTTCCACATCTGTAAAATGGGGTGCTGTGAGGGTTCCATGATGGATGTCACAGTGACCTTATGGGAGTCGACACTCTCACCATCACTGTCATTTTTGTTGACATCGTCACTGTCAAGTTGTGGAGGGAGGGAAGCTGGTGCCAAGGCTGTAGACTCAGAATTTGCCTGCAGACTCCTCCCCTCCCCCACCTCCCTGGACATGCTGAAGGCGTGTGTGCACATGCACATGCATGTGTTTTCTCTTCCCAGGGGCCTTTGTGTTGGTATTTATGCCACCAACTCTGCGGACGCTTGTCAGTATGCCATTGCTCACTCCAAAGTGAACATCCTGGTGGTTGAGAATGAGCTACAGTTGCAGAAAATCTTTTCGGTAAACCCTCTACCCAATGCTGCCCGCCAGTCACCTGGGGGTGGGGAGGGGCGAACCTCAGGGCTCTGACCAGGTGCCCTGTAGCTTCCAGGGAGATGATAATGATCAGGTGGGGTGGCGGGACTTGCCCCAAGCACAGGTTCAGTACCAATCCCCCCACGACCACTTTTGGAATAACTGGCAAAGCCACTTTGTAGGGGAGTAGGGTGGAGTGGACAAGCTTAATTTCCAATTCATATTAATTTCCTACTCGGCTTCCATTTAAAAAAGGTGTCTGTGTATTATTCTATATACAGTCCACTGTTTACTATTTTTCTTTTAGAAATGTATATCTTTGAAGCTTTGCAATCCTTATAATCTTCATCTCTTACAACTGTCCTCATTTCTGAAATGTTTTTGTCTTTCTCTTCCATTTCTTTCCTAAGTTCTACCACTCCATTTTACTTCTGACGTCTGGCTCTCCCCCTGGGTACTTGTATGTTTGCTTTGTGTTCTTCCTAACCAGCTGCATTTACCTCATTACATCTTACATTTTATGTTGAAATACTGGGTGGTAATTTTCCTTTGCTTCGGGGTGACTTTCCTTGGTGTCCAGTGAAATAGGACTCCTCCTCATTCCTTTTTTTCCCCTTGCAGTATCTTTGTATGGATGTTGTAGCAATGTTTCTGATTACTTGTGTTTGAATGAGCTGCAGCTGCCTGAACCAGCTTTTGGCAGAATGACCCTAAGGGGCAGGGGGTCCTGGGAAGGGGTGAACCTAGATGACCAGACTTCTTGCTTGGCCTAAGAGCCACTGTGACAGTTTCTTTAATACCATACTCCATCTCTTCTGAGTTAACATTTCTCCACTTTTTAACATCCTTGGAGTTGAGATGTGTCTTGCCGTCTGCGGCATCCTAACACTGTTGGCCATGTGTCTTCCCACATTTTAACTTCTCTGGAATGAAAGTAGATTTTCCAGACTTGATGAAATCCAGCTAGACTCACTTTTTCATTGGATTGGCTAGAGATGTCACAGACGCAACTCTCCTTCCTTTGTGTGAACAGGGTACAAGAATCCCACAGGCCTGGCCACTTGAAGCTCACAGTTCTAGGTTTAAGTAGAGTTCTGAACCTGCCCCAGGTTCAGCCACCTTCATGGAGGATTTTCATGGCCTGACTCCAACTAGAAGGTTAGCTGGATCTTGGTGCCAGGTGAGGAAGAGCTGGGAGGGACATCCTTCACTTAACCAACCAAGACCCACACGGTGTAGCTGAATTCAGGGGGCTGTTGTCCTCATCCATCTTTAACAGCTGCAGTCTACTGACACCGACCACAAAGAACCCAGTGGTTCTAAGAGCAAGTTGCTTAGTGTCAGTCAAGACAAAGAGCAACGTTTCAGTGTGCAAGGGAGAGGAGAGAGGCTGGGGTCCCTGTGAAAGAGAGCTCAGGACCTGCTCTGCCAGGGCTGGGTTGCCAATTAGATCCACGCAGAACTTTCTTTTAGATTCCGAAGAACAGGATACAGACCCTAAAAGCAATCATCCAGTACAGACTGCCGGTGAAGGAGACCAAAAATTACGACCTGTACTCTGTAAGTGTGCGAGGGGGCACTGAGCAAAGGTGAGGGCGGGGCCTTGAAATGGAAGTGGGCGGGGACTCAAAAGGAAGTGGGTGGTGAGAAAGGGAGAGGGCGGGGCCACTGAAGGGACATGGGCGGGGACTCAAAAGGGAGAGGGGGAGCAAGGAAGAGGGCGGGGCCATACAACGGAAGTGGGTGAGGCTGTTCGAGAGGATTTTTTCTGGCATTAAGGGTCTTACTTGTGGGAAGGTGTGTTTTCTGGTTATTTATTGCTGTGTAACATATCAGGCGTGTTAAAATTCACATTACTTTAAGTTTAAAAATTTAATTTATATTCAAACCAGAATTATAAATTTATTTTCCTGGCTTTAATAGACACAAAGTCATTTTTTTTAAAACCATTAGCCATTTTTAATATATACAAATATGTATATAGGGGTGCACATTTCTGCTATGGCTTGGACAAACAGCCCTGTTGGAGCCTGTCTTTATTTAAAATTTTGATGTTTTGTCCACCATGGATTTGCTTTGCTTTGACAGTGACTTTAAAAATATTGCATTAAAATATTTATCTTGATTGCCAAGTCTTTTTGGCATCCCCCCAAGTTTTGCACCCAGGAAGCCCCTGGTCCTCACTCTGGTCCCGACACTGCTGCTGGGGCTCCGCCAGCACGTTTCTGGGTCTCTTTGGGGTGTCTCCATGCGATGTCTCCAGTAGGATGACTTCAGGACCTCTGGACTCATTTGGTGGCTCAGATCTCCAGAGAGGATGTTTTGAGGGAGAGAAACATCCAGGGGGAAGCTGTCCTGCCTTTAATGACCTATTCTTGGAAGTAGAATATGGCCCATCAAGGCCAACACATGGACACAGAGTCCACCTCTCACCGAGAGAGGGACAAGGCTTCTGAAGAGTGTGTGACATCATAAATGCTGTCACAGTCAACTTTTTGAAAATTCACTCTGCCTCAGGGTCTTCAACAGTCAGAAAATGTTTGGGTGCAAGCAACAGAGACCCACTTATGCCAAAGGAAGGGTTTTTTGTTCTCATCTTTTAAGGATACAATGAGTTAACTCACAGAAGCCAGGGCAGGAGGCCTGTGACGGGCCAGGACAAGCTCCGGTTAATTTCCACGAGGTTACTGGGCCAGGAAAGCCACTACCCAAATCAGAAGCCCTAAAATGTCATGGAGTTTATCTGGTTTGCCCTCCGCGCAAGTGGGAGGAAACATGTCAGTGATCCTTTCTGGCCAAAGCACTCACCAGCTTTCACACGTTTCAGAAAATATTTGAATATTAAAACCAGAACGATGACTAACCAAGTAAGACAAATGATCAGAATTGTAGACTTTTTAGAGGTTAAAAATGACCATCACAGCAGCATACCTTAAGCCGGGATAACATAAATAACTCATTTGTCAGAAACAGTACTTACAGCAGGGCTTCTCAACCTCGCGGGCAACTGGCTGGAAGACTCTTTGTGGGGGGCTGTCCCATGCATTGCAAGATGTTGAGCAGCATCCCGGGCCTCCACCTACCAGACGCCAGCAGCGGCTCCCAGCTGAAACAATCACAGCTATCTCAGACGTTGCCTAATGTCCCCTGGGCGGGGGGGACAATATCGCCCCTGGTTGAGGACAATGATTTATAGGGGAGTTTTGTGACACAGAATAGTATCCACTTCTCTGCAAGGGTAAGTAGAACCCACCATTTTTGATTCAATTTAGAAAAACATTCATTACAAGTAAGAGAAGAAGAAAGAGCCTGAGGAGGTAAAAGGTGAAGTTTGGGGGCAGAGGGATGGCAGATAAGACAATTAACTGGGTGGGTTGTGATGCCTGGGACTGGACTTGTGACCAGTTTTCAAGAGAGAGGGTTGGACTGGACGAGACTGGGTCTGGTGTCTACCCAATCCATCATCTGTGGCCATGGGAGGATGGGGTTCCACACAAGCCACCGGGGAGCACTCTTTGAGGGGAGGGCTTGGGGCACCTCTCAGAGGAAGGACAAGGTCCCTCTGAAGGCCTGTGTCTGCTGCTCTCACCACTGCCCTCCCCATCAGAGATGCGCTTCCAGAGGGGCCAGCGTTGCCCTGAGCAGGCTGCAGGCCATGCTGGCCGTTTCCAGAGGACCTGGACTGCCCTCTATCTTGCAGACAGGACGTTACCCTCCAGAGCCTCATGGGGCGGCTCAGAGGTAGAATTTTTGCAGGGCCCAGGGTAAACGGTTCACACAGCCCAGCAGTTCCTTCCGAGGCACCAAATTCTCAGGTAATTAAGAGCAAAGGCTCTGGAGTCAGACCACCTTGGGTTAGAATGCTAGTCCCTCTACTTGCTCTGTGACCCTGGGCAAGTAACTTACCACCTCTGAGCCTCAGCTCCTTCATGTGCCACAGGGAGAGGATGTATCTACTACCAGCAAGGGTGCCTTTGGTTGCAAATGACAAAAGCCTGACCCCCAAATGGCTTAAGCTTGCAAGATTACTTGTTGGCTCATGTAACTACAACCCCCGGTGTGGATTTCAGGCACAGCTAGAACCAGAGGCTCGACTAATGTGACTGAGGCTCCAGTCTCCTCTCCTGGTATCTTGGTTCCACCCCAGCCTTATAGTCCTGAGATGGTCTGGCAGCCCCTGGGGGTCACACCTTCTTCATGTTCAGATGATTCATTCATGTCCTAGCACTTCCTGGAAAAGCCCTGGCCTTCACTGTGACTGCACCACCCAAGGTCACAAGCCCAGACCCAGTCCAACCACTGTGGCGGAGGTAGATGGGACTCTCTGGCTTAAGCCATCAGGGTTGCCTTCAGCCGCATCAATCTGGTAACGAAGGAGTTGGAGGTGCCAAGTGGAATCTGGGAAGGCAGAGGACAGACAATACTGAACTCCCCTGTTCTGAGCACTTTACTTGTATTAACTCGCTTGCTGCTTAGAACCACCAAGGAGTTGGGTTCTGACGCCATTCCCATTTTACAAATGAGGAAACTGAGGCCCGGGGAGCTTGAGCAGCCTGGCCTGGGAAGTGGAGGAGCAGAAGCAAACATCTTAGGGCTCTCGTGAGAGGTACCAGGACTGGCGCAGCCCAAGCCTTTCCTCCTGCTGAGAACCACGCTTCAGGAGGGGCTGCTGGCGCCAGACGGGCCTGGGGAAGGGGAGCTCCCAGGGTGCTGAGGTCGATCCCACACCCCCAGGGTACCCTCACCCTGACACCCTTGTTTTGCTTGTCTTTTCTTTCCACAGTGGGACGATTTCATGGAACTTGGCAACAGCATCCCTGATTCCCAGCTGGACCAGATCATAGGGAGCCAGAAGGCCAACCAGTGTGCTGTGATCATCTACACTTCCGGGACCACGGGCCACCCCAAGGGAGCGATGCTGAGCCACGACAACGTAAGTGCTGTCTCCAGAGACAGGGATGAACCGGGCAGCTCCCTGAGGCCCTTCACTCTGGAGCAGTGGCCTTCAGGCTGCTTTCATTCCTGCCCCACAGGGACACAGTGGCATTTAGGGGCCCAGCACACAGTAGGTCCAGAGCCCGTGGGATGTAGAGAGTCATGCAAACAGCTCCCAGCGGACGGCACAGCACAGGGGTTGAGATCAAGGATGCCAGAGCAGACCCAGCTCTACCCTCTTGCCCCAAGCCTCAGTTTCCTCATCTGTAAAATGGGTGTGATGTAACAGTCCCTGCCTCATGGGTTGTTTTGAAGAGTAAATGAATTAATATCCAGAGAGGGGATGTTAAACACGTTAAAGCTCGTGGATGAACACTACGCAGAGCCCGGTGAGGTTTTTGTTAAAAACTGAAAAATGGCAGTGAGCAGCGTGCACGGTGTGAGGTTTCAAAGCAGGAAAGCGTCCGGTGGGACGTGCGCCCAACTCGCTCCGCTCTGTGAGTCAGAAATGCTGCTGGTTTGTTGGTTGGTGGTGTTTTGTAATTAAGCTTATTTATTTTTTAATGGAGGTACTGGAGACTGAACCCAGGACCTTGTGTATGCTAAGCACGCGCTCTACCGCTGAGCTATTCTCTCCGCCAAGACTGCTAGTTGAAAAGAAGCGTTTCTATTTTACAAGAGCTTTCCCCACCAGCCTAGCTTAATAGTTGGCGTCACACACTGGACTTTGCACTGGCTGTTTCCTCCGCATGTAATCCTCCTTTCTCAGAGACTACATGGCCTGCTCCTTCACCTCCTCCAGCTCCCAGCTCAAACGTTACTGCCTCTGGGAAGCCCTCCCTGACTTCCACGTTTAGAATAGCAAACAAGAATAAAACACCCCATGAGTCCCTGACCCCTCTTTGGCTATTTTTCTTACACTGACATGTTATATAGTCACTTGTTTATCATGAACGTCAGTGCCTTGAGGGCAGGGGCTGTCTGTCTTGTTCACCGCTGGGTCTCCAGTGCTCGGTGTATAGGGCGACACAATCCATTTTGCAGAATGACTGAATGAAAAGGAGCTGACTAGGCCCTGCCCCATCCTGGCCAGTATCCACGCTCCCAGTGGCTTTGTGTCTGGTGAGATGCTCCCCTTGCGTAGGAGGGACAGAGGCAGAGCCCCTGGAGGGAGGCTGCCTGGATCTGAACCCTGGCCCTCCCACCTGCTACCTCTGTGACCTGAGAAGATTTCCCTAACTTCTCTGGCTTTGGTTCCCCATGTGTGAGTGGCTGCTGCCTCTCATAGAGTTGCTGTGAAGGTTTCCTAAAGTGTGTCAATTAGCGCTGGCTATGTAACAAACCATTCTAGAACTCAGCGACAGAAGACACCAGCAGCCTGCTATGTCTGGGTCTGGAATTTGGGCAGGGCTCGGCAGAGGGTCTTATCTGCCCCACCAAGTGTCAGCTGGGGTCACTTGGCTGGATTCAGCGGGCACCCAGGCTGGGCTGGAAGGTCCCAGGAGGGCTTCACTCACGTGTCTCACGTGGCCTGGGCTTTCTCACTGCACGGAGGCATCTAGGGTGCTGAACTTCTCAACACGGCACTGGCTCTCGAGGGCGAACATGCCTTGACCCGAAGGCAGGAGCTGCAGTCTACAAGGGCTCAACATCAGAAGTGACCTGGTGTCACCGAGCTCCACTCCGTTGGTGAAAACAAGTCACAAGACCAGCCCTGTGAAGGGAAACAGACTCCAGCTTCGGACATGAGGGCTGGCAGGGAATTTGCAGCTGACTTAAACCTCCCGCATACACATGAGAAGCTCAGAACAACGGCTGGCATGCGGCAAGCCGCAAAGATCTCAGCTGCTATTATTTAAAAATCACCATCATCTCCTTTCCAGCAAGTTAAAGCTAGTCCCATATTCTCAACACATGTCCACAGCACAAGGTTTCTCCCATGTATAGGCACTGTGCCAAGCTGAGATAAACACATTAACCCCTCCCAGAAACCCCACGAGGTGAGCCGAGTCATGAACCCCTTTTACGGGCGGGGAAACTGAGGCTCAGAGATGGGAAATGACTTGCTCAAGGTCAGAGAGCAGAGAAAGGTCTGAGCCAGGATCTGAACGCACGAGTGTCTGAACCACTGTAAATTAGGGTCTCCACACACCCAGCCCCTTTTCTCAGCAGATGGGTACTGGGTTCCACGAACCACAGAGAGTGACAGTGCTTATGGGGGCAGAAGTAAAATTCTTCCTTCCTGAGGCCCAGAGAAAGAGGGGAAACGAACCTTGAGGGCCAGTTACTACAGGCCATGTGCCTTGCATGCTTCATTGCACTTAAACATCCCTTTGATTTCCTCATTCATTCATTCAACAGAAGTTTATTGGGCACCTGCTATGTGCTGGGAAAGCAGCTTTGGACAAAACAGACCCCATCACGGCCCTCGGGAAGACAGACAGGGAAGGAACAAATAAAACCCCTCGGGTTGTGGCGAGCAGTACCCAGGGGGTTAGACAGATGCTGGAAACATCAGTCTGGGTGGTGTGAGACAGCCTCTCTAAACAGGCAGTGTTTAAGCTGAAATTTAGCATCCAAGGAGGCAGCTGTGGAGAGGGTTGGAGGAATAACATCCCAGGTGGAGGAAATAGCCAGTGCAAAGGCCCTGAGGCAGGAACTTGCCTGATGTGTTTGGAGGAACAGTGCAGTGGCCCGTGTGGCTGGATTAACCAGGTAACTGTTCGCCAGAGATTTATGGTACCGGTAAGAAAATAGAGATTGTAAAATGATAAATATGCTAAGAGTTTACTTCAAGGTATGCACTGGAGAAAGAAAAATACTGATAGGCTAATTGTTGGGGTGTTTACACGACGGGATTATGGGTGCCCTTATTGTTTGTGGGACGATGCTTGTTTATGTCATAGTGTTATGTTGGACAAGAGGAGCCTCTGTGCTCATTTCACAGATGAGCGAATAGCAGCTGCAAGGGATTTTAAGCCAATAGCCCAGGGTCACTCAGCTGGCAAACGGTGGAGTCAGGATTCAACTCTGGGATACAGACTGAATCTATCAGATTTTCTGACATTCTGGGTAGACATTCCGACTCTAGGGTTCTGCTGTTGGATCCTAGGGCGTCTGGTAATTCCTGAATTTCACAGCTTCCCACGAACCCCCAGGCAAGCCAGTTAACTGCTCCGTGCTCCAGCTCCCCGTCCGTAACATGGAGGGAACTGCGGTCACCCACCGTAGTGCATTCAGACGGGGACCGGCTGACTCAGTCTTTGTAATGCACCAGAGCAGTGCCCAGCATGCAGGAAGGGCTTTGTGTTTGTTCAATAACTGCATCTTCACGCCCCTCCAGCGAGGACGAGGCGCCCTGGGTCATAAGCCTGACTTGTGTTCCAGATCACATGGATGGCAGGGGCGGCGGCGAAGGAGTGCAACCTGTCTTTAGCTCCCAAAAAGCAGGAGGTGGTGGTCAGCTACCTTCCGCTCAGCCACATTGCAGCTCAGATGATGGATGTCTGGATACCCATGAAGGTCGGGGCTTCCATCTACTTTGCTCAACCAGACGCACTCAAGGTATTAAGGTCAAGGGCCACGTGGATGGGTGGTTGGTTCTGTCGAGCCCCAGGCCTAGGGCTCGTTCTCTGTCCTCACCTCGTGCTCCCAGTTAGCAGCATCTGAAACCACTGACCACTTTATTTTAGTGTTCGTCTTCATCCAAGTCACAGTACCCACATATGGCTGTACAGACTGTACACCGAACAATCTAAGAGTAAGATGTGAACGGTACTGAAGGCAGAATGTGTATGCACGTGTGTAGTTTTGTTTGTTTGTTTAAAGTCAGTAGTTCCTAACTGCAGAAAACTCCCCAAACCAAATGCTTTTGGCAGTTAAATCTCACCATGACTGATGTGGAGCTGTTTGTAGTCTTCATTTTATCCCACTTACTTGGGAATCTGCGTCTCTGCAGAAATATTAATGTGATGGATGTCAGCCGGCTTGCCCAGACACCACTGTGGGATTCATGTAACACCTGAAATATGCACCATGTTACCTTTCTGAAGGCCAGATAACTCTAATTCCAAAATACATCTGGCCCCAAGGGTTTGAGATAAGGGAGTCTGGACCTGGTCTAATCAACCAAGAGAAGGTTCTCCTGGGATGAGCTGAAGTGGCTGAGGAGAGAGGGACCTCTGCGGTGCAGGTGTGGCTAACCCAGCTCTGTCCCCTGCAGGGCACCTTGGTCAACACTCTGCAGGAGGTAAAGCCTACTGCCTTCATGGGGGTGCCCCGAATTTGGGAGAAGATGCATGAGAAGATAAAGGAAGCTGCTTCCAAATCTTCAAGCTTGAGGAAAAAGGTGTTTTCATGGGCAAGAAATGTTGGTTTAAAGATCAACACAAAAAGGATGCTGGGGTAAGAGATGGATCCAGTGGGGCCAGGCGTGGGGGGCACTGGGGTGTGCTCAGCCTTCCCCAGCTCTCCATGGCTGCAGAGCGCTCCCTGGCATTCGTGTTCACAGGGCTCATGACACGCCCATGAGCTACCGCATGGCCAAGGCCCTCGTGTTCAGCAAAGTCAAGAGCAGCCTGGGCCTGGATCACTGCCACATTTTTATCAGTGGGGCCGCGCCCCTCAACCAAGAGACATCGGAGTTCTTTCTGAGCCTGGACATACCGATAGGCGAGGTGTATGGCTTGAGCGAAAGCACAGGGCCCCACTCCATGTCCACCCCGGAGAACTACAGGATTCTCAGGTACCTGCCTCCCGGGCGGATTCCCGCTCCTCCAGCAACACCGGGTCAAAGGGATGAAGACGGCGGGCGGGGCGGGCGGTGGGCCCCTGGGCTAAGACGAATCCTGACTTGGTGTCTCCAGAATGACCCCTGTTCTCCAGCCTCCAAGGCCCCAATCTTCATGGCTGTGGGAAGCCCCAGTTTGTCCCAGAGCCTGTGGACAAGGGGAAGGGCTCTCAGAATGTTCTGTGGACCCTCCCCTATTTGTCACTTGCGGGCTCTGCCTCCAGACTGCCCACCCCAAGCTTGCCTCCTGAGGCTGCAGGACCCTTCATCTCCATGATGCTTTATCTCAAAAGCATCCTCAGGCCCTTTCTGGATTTCTTCCAAGCTCGGCTCACCTCAGGCTGCAGGACTGCACCCCGTGACACTGAAACAGCAAGACTACCAAAGGCAGGTTCACTCTGAGTCTGAGAGCCATGTTTCTTCCCAGGACCTTCTGGTTGTGTCCTTCCCTGACCCCGCCCTGCTGCCACACCACAAGTCTCACTCTCCCCTCCTGCTTGGCCAGGGTCTGGCTGCCTCTGAACTTAGCTAAAATGGGGCTCAGTCTTCCTAGTCCGGCAAAACCACCTCCTGCCCCTTATTTTTACTCTGCACATCAGTTTCTCCCCCTCCGCTCCATAACCTTATCTGGGTGTTTTCTGCAGAACCCAAATGCCCACTGGAGTTTTTCCAGAACCAAAGAGTGGTCCTTCCTTAAAGAGAAGAGACACTGTCCCAATCCTGGAGGAAAAGTACACATTTCAGCCTCTATCTTCAATTATCTTTTTCCCAACAAGGAATACATGCATATGTCAAAAATATACAGGTCAGAAGGTATGAAATGCTAAGAGTGAAAGGCGCCCTCCCTCCCACCCCACAGCTCCAGTTCACTTCCTGTGAGCTTGCTAGGGCTGCTGTACGGAAGTTCCACCAACTCCCACAACAGAGACTAGGAGTCCGAGATCAAGGTGTTGGCAGGGCTGGTTCTTTCCGAAACCTGTCAGGGAGAATCTATTCCAAGCCTCTCTCCCAGCTTCTGGTGGTGTGCTGGCAAGCTCTGGCATGCCTTGGCTAGCAGAAGCATCGTCCTAGTTAACTGCCTTCATTGTCATGTGGCCTTCTCCCTGTGTGTGTCTGGGTCCAAATGTCCTTTTTTTATAAGGACACCAGTCATACTGGATTTGGGGCCACCCTATTCTGGTGTGACCTCCCACAACAACTCTATTTCCAATAAGGTTACATTCTGAGGTATTGGGGATTAGGACTTCAACACAGGAACTGGGTGGTGGGTGGGGAATGGGAGGAGCAGACACGGTTCAACCCGCGACGCCCTCCCAGGGGCACAGCAACCACAGCATGCTCTTTTGAGTTAGCCTGGCCTAAGCGGTGCATCGCTTTATACACACACGTACTTCTATCCCACATGGAAACATTTTCCACCTAAAAATGGACACGAACTTTCCCTTTCTGAACTATTGCTTGCTGTCTGGAGCTCAAGAACCAAACGCACTCAAATAACATGGTAACCTTGACTATCTGGATTAATAACACAAAATTCCACTCAGTCCTAACTCACGCTATCCAAGCTCAGTAACCAAATGGATTTAGTTACTAAGGGATTCGTATTTTGTAGGGAATGTTCCGTAACAATGCAGAGCTGCCTCATTTTAAACAGCCGCGCTGTATTCCACTAGATGGATGTACTACGGTTTTATTTAACTAGGCCTCTTACTCGTGGATATTTAGGGCTTTTCCCCCAACCAACTGTCACTGTGGCTGATGCTAAAGTGAATGCTTTGTATAGGCACCAAATATTTTGCTAAATCAATTAGTAAAAAATGGTATCTCAACGTCACTTTCATTGATATTCCTTGTATCATGAGTGAAGTTGAAAAAACTGTTTCCTAATATAAAGGCCATTTTTATTTAATGTTCTCTGAACTCTGGCCATGTCATCTGCCCAAGTTAAATACTGGACCCTCAGTCCTTTTATTATTGGTTTGTTGGCACTCTTTAAGTCTTAAGAAACTCAGCCCTCATTGTCTTTGCTGTAAGTGGCAGATATTTCACCCCTAGGTTTGTCATTGGTATTTTGGTTTTAGTTAAGGAGTTCTTTGCTGTGCAGATTTTTTTTTTATCCTTACCTGGTTGAATTCGTCAAACTTTCATAGATTCTGAGTTTTTCTACATTCCTTGAAAAGCTCTTTGTTGTAAGGAGGCTCTTAGTAAATTTTAAACTTCTCAGGCCTGCCTTCTTTTTTCCTTCTAAGAGAATCCCCACACTTAACCCTAAAACCACTGACCCTTCTCACTGCCAGTAAAAGAGATCTCAGCAAGGCAGTAAGAAAATACTTCCTTTTCTGCCAGCCTCCTAAGCGTTCTCTCTAGCAGAAGCAATTTTAGAGCCAGATCTTGGGTTGTGCTGTTCCGTCCTGTGGAAGGAACTTTAACCTCTAGAGAGATTCCGGTTGGTTGTTTTACTTAATTCAGCTGGTCACAGGGTACAGGTTGACATATCTGCTTTCTGAAAGATGAGGGGGTTCTGCTGCTGTTTTTAAGCCAGGAGCACTCTGTCCTTCTCCCGTTTATGTGAAGATAAGAGCAATCTACAACTCTGCTGGGTTTCCCAGTTCACAAAGTGATCGAGACTTTGCCTCACTTGATTGAACAGGCCCTCCCTCCTTCATTCGCTAAACACCCCCTTGTGCCCACCAGGTCCAGGAGAGGGTGAGAAAGCAGACCCAGCCAGGCCAGCTGAGCAGGGTGTTAGGTGCCCGGGCCGCAGACCCAGGCTGACCTGGGTGGGTGACCTCGTCTCTCCGAGCCTCAGTGCCTCCTTCCCCTCCCCTGGCAGTTCCGGCAAAGTCATGACTGGGTGTAAGAACATGCTGTACCAGCAGAACAAGGAAGGCATTGGGGAAGTCTGCCTCTGGGGCCGGCACGTCTTCATGGGCTACCTGGGAAGTGAGGATGCGACCTCAGAGGCCATCGACAAGGAGGGCTGGCTACACTCCGGGGACTTGGGCCGCGTGGACAACAAGGGTTTCCTCTACATCACGGGCCGCATCAAAGGTACTGGGGCTTGGCTCTGCGAGGGCCTCCTGTAAGCAGGCCCACCCTGAACCTTTAGGCTCCCAGCCTCCACCTTCCATGGGAGACCTTGCACAGATGTACAAGGACACCCCAGTCCACACTCCACCTCCAGCTCTGTCCTTGGGCCCAGCACTTGACTCTCGGCAGGATGGACCTGGGAAAGATGCCCAACACTGCCCTGAAACCTCTGTTTCCTCCCCTGTAATTCAGGGATAATAACTGCTACAGAGCTACAGTGATTAAATGGGGAGTAAATGAAATTATGCAGAACAGGGATCAGCCGACTTTTCCCATAAAAGGCCCAGTAATAACCATGTTTTTGGATTTGCATGACATGGGTCTCTGTCGTAGCTGCTCCACTCAGCTACTGCAGTACAAAAGCAGCCTGGACAATATGCTCACCAATGGACCTGGCCGCATGCCCGTACAAATTTCATATGATTTTCATGTGTCACAAACAGTATTCTTCTTTGGATTTCCTTCTGACCATTTAAAAATGGAAAAACCATTTTCAGCCCC